TGTGTTCAAACCCATACGAGGCAGCAAAAGACTCAAAGACTCGCCCAGAATACTGTGGTCCATTATCTGACATTAGGACCTCAGGGATACCATGTCGGGCAAAAATGGACTTAAGATTAATTATGATATCATTTGTTTTGGTCCTATTTAGAAGAGCTAATTCAACATATCTGGAATAATAGTCCACAACAAGAAGGTACTGTTTCCCTCCCAATTCAAAAAGATCTGTGCCTAAATTTTGCCATGGGCGGGCAGGGTGCTGGGAAGGCATGAGTGGTTCACTATGGTTGTGCCTTTCCTGTACACATGTTCTACATTTTAACACCATTTCATTTATTTGCTGACTGAGTCCGGGCCATCACACTGACTGACGAGCACGGGCTTTACACTTAACAACCCCTTGATGTCCCTCATGAAGCTTTTCCAACACATCATTGCGCATTGCTGAGCGAATAACAAGTCGTGAGCCTTTAAGCAACAAGCCATCTTTCACAGTGAGAGTGGCTCGTTCCGGCCAGTAATTTTTCAGCAGTGGTTCCTGGTTTGCATGATTTGGCCATCCTTGTGTGCACACCTCCATGACACGTGCACAAATGTTGTCACTCTGTAGCTGTCCTTTAAGTGTGTCCAAGTATGAAGAACTAAGTGGTAGATTTGCAATGATGTTGTCCACATAGATGTCAGTGTCCTCCATTAGTTCTTTGTCTAAATTGGACATCTGTCTTTTAATTGGTGAATGGGACAATGTGTCTGCTGTCCAGAGTGATTTACCTGGGGCGTACTGTATATCATACTCGTAGCGCATGAATCTCATCCTGAAACGCTGAATCCTTGGTGGAAGAAGGTCCAAAGCTTGTCCTCCCAGCAGGGAAATGAGAGGTTTGTGGTCTGTCTCTAAGGAGAAGTGTTTCCCTATGAGGAAGTCCTGAAAACGTTCACACGCCCAAGTAAGGGCTAAAGCCTCCTTTTCAACCTGTGCGTAACGTTGCTCCGTTGGAGACAGTGACCGCGAAGCATAAGCTACTGGTCTCCAGCCTTCCTCCCACATCTGGAGAAGAACCCCTCCCAGTCCATATGATGAAGCATCTGCAGAAACTTTGGTGTCTCTGTTTGAGTCATACATGGCCAGTACTGGAGTTGAGTTACAGCCTCTTTTAGAGTTTTAAATGCTTTGTCCTGGTCCGTGCCCCAGTACCAACTGTTTCTTTTTGACAGCAGATCACGCAGGGCCTTGTCCTTTTCAGCCAAATGGGGAATGAATTTGCCCATTTGGTTAACCATGCCCAGAAAACATCTAAGTTCCGCCACATTACTTGGTTCTTTCATGTTTGTAATTGACTCTGTTTTCTTTGGATCAGGGCTGATGCCTGAATCTGTGATGATGTGACCCAAGAAGGAAACTTTGCTCCGTGAGAGATCACACTTTTCCACATTCAGTGTTACACCTGCTTTTTCCAGCCTTCACAGTGTGGTGTGGAGACGGGCATCATGTTCCTCCTGGTTGTGTCTCCACACAAGCAGATCATCAATGTGACAAATCACTCCCTCCAGTCCTTCAATAACCTCCGCCTTTATGCGCTGGAAGTGCTCGGGCGCAGAGTTGATTCCGAAAGGAAGGCGATTAAAGTGGAATTGCCCAAACGGTGTTATGAATGTTGTGAGCTTGGCTAAATCCTTCGATAAGGGAATTTGCCAAAACCCCATATTGGCATCCAGTTTACTGAACACTTTGGCTCCAGCCAGCATTCCCAGACTTTGATCGACTGATGGTAGTACATACTTTTCTCTGCAAACGTACTTACTTGTTTAGTCCTGTAAAGTCCACACACAGTCTCTGTCTGCAACTGTTTGGTTTTGGGACGACCACCAAACCAGCGCACCAATCTGTAGGTTCCTCCACTCGGCTGATGACCCCCCAGCTCCTCCATTCTGTGAAGTTCCTCCTTTACTTTTCCTACTAAAGGCAGAGAAATTCTCCTAGGGGCATTGAGCGAGTATGGAACCACATCAGGTTTGAGTTTGATGTGGTATGTTTGCTGCACCTCACCTAGTCCATTGCAGAGTCTGGGGTACACTGTTTTTAGAGTGCCCATTGATATAGCATTCACACGCACCAGAAGACCAAGAGCTGTGATGGCAGGCAGTCCAAGCAGTGGTGTGGTGAGGTTTTTAACAACATAGACCTTTTCTATTGTACTCTTATCCCTGTAGGTAAGCTGTAGTTTTGTGTAACCTGCAACATCCAGTGGTGTTCGGCCAGGGCCTAACAGAGGTTTCACTGGTTTGACGAGAACAGGCTTTTCAGCACTGGGAAACAGTCTGTTCAAATCTGTCTGAGCCATGGCTGTGACGTCTGCACCTGTATCAAGTTTAAATGTTAGTATTGTCTCTTTTATTTGTATATCAGCTGTCCATGCCTGATTTTCTGCGGTCACAGATCCAAGGAAGAAACTTTCCTCCTCCTTCCTCCTCTTCCTCCTCTTCGATGCTTTGCACCTTTTTGCTAAATCTACACACGCTGATAATGTCCTTTCTTCCCACAGAAATGACATTTAGCATCATTAGCAGGACACAAATTTAGGGTGAGGGGAGCCTCCACACTTGAAACACTTTGTACTTGATGTGCTTTTGCTGTCGACCTGTGGATGTGTTTTAGCACTTTTATTTTTAAACTTGTTATATTTGGTTTTCTCAAACTGAACTCAACGACAAGCTACTGGCCTGGCGGAACCTCTCGAAGCGACGGATCGATTTTGTCCATTCATGTGGCTTAGAAAAATCAAAAGGCTTCGGCGGCTGGATACTGAACGTAGCGCTGGGAGTGTTAGCCGCTATGCTAACGACTCCTGCCCTCGGCTGTTCGTCTTCTTCATTAGACATCTTAAAAATTGCTGTTTCTCATCTTTCCTCTTCTTATCCATGCCAGATGGACCAAAGTGTCTCCTCCTCAGCAACACACCACTTCTGACACCATGTTGTGTTCTTATTTTTAGAACAAAACATGGAACTTGTTGTGCTGGCAAACACTCTTTATTCGTCCGTTACAAAAACAACGTCCCTCGCGTGCTGCATACAACTCGTCGCATCCTCCAGTGAGTAACGTTCAAGATCGCTAGTGTTTAACAATTATTATTCTTGAACACCACATTATGCACTTCAGAAATGTGGGTATGTACTCAATGTAAACAAAGCACTATGCTGAATTTGCTAATGTTCTAGAACTGCACCGCTCAAGGTGGCTGCATGTTGGAGCAGCTCTGTTACTTTCATTTTGAGATTTTGCTTTTGGAAAATTTAATTCCTCTTTTTCTGGATGTAAATCATTTTTTTAGATGATTGTTTCCTCTGGTATCTGATGCTGTGCAGCTGGAAGGAATTTTACTGAAACTTTTTTAGTTTTGGACATTTGTTATGATGTGTAACCATGGCAACAAGTCAGTTTTCTACAACCAACAGCAGCTGATTAACATCTCAAAAGCTCAAATAATATCTCAACTACAGCCCCAAATCTCAAGTGAGTTGAAAAGGATGTTCTGTGGACGCATTCTCATCTACCTGCCAGCTGTGCTCGAGTGCCTGATCACTGAGATCCTGGAACTAGAAGGAAACACGGCTCATGACAGTGGAAGGACAGGATCGCCCTCGGCACCTACAGTTGGCTGTCCACAGTGACGAGGAGCTCGGCAGTCTGCTGGGAGGAGTGGCCATCGCTCTGGGAGGAGTTCTGCCCAGCATTTGGGTGGCCCTTCAGCCCGGGGGAACTGAGAGAGGCCAGCCGAGTCTGGGTGGATGGATCGGACGACATCTGCAGCCAGTTTCTTAGGATCCACTGTGGGATGGACCTTTACAAGAGATCCTTCCTGCCTACAGCCATCAGTATCTATAACATCTCTTAATGAAATGAGGATAACGAGTTACAACAACAAATAATTTCCCTTTGGGATTAATAAAGTATTTTTGAATTGAATTGAATTATTAGTTTGAGTCACATGACTGAAATACAGGGGGCTGGCTGGCTGGCTGTTGGAAAACCTCCTAGACCAGGGCTATTCAAGTAAATTTCTCAGGGGGCCACAATTACTGAAAGCCAAGAGTTCAGGGGCCGGACATCCAGCAGTTATTGTCATTAAGTAAGTTTTATGGTTTAAACTATAGTTTTATTTAAACAATGAACCCAAGGATGGGCCAAACTGAGCTCACCCGTGGACCTGATTTGGCCCCTGTGCCGCCAGTTGAATAGCTCTGTCTTAGTTAGACCTATTTTTAGTCGTTTGACTGTGTTTGTAGTGAATATGTGGCAGTCTGCATCTAATCACATTTTGCTTACAAATTTCAAATTGAAAGATGCAATAATGTGAGAAAAATATTGTTAATCTTTTGTTTAAATTTAGTGTTTTCTGTCTTTATGACTTTGCGATGAGTGCCTTAAAAAAAAAAAAAAAAAGGAAAACAAAACGTTTTAAGATCTATTTTATTTTTTAATCATAAATTTGTGAATTTAAGCAAATGTTATATGTCTTTGAAGTAAATGTACATAATCCAGTGTGCTACTTTTTGTCAGTAATTAACTAAAAGGGAAGATCAAATAAACCTATATTTTTGAATTTGCTCTTGGATTTTATTTGAATTTTAGGAGCAAAAATCAAAACAAAACTAAATTCTGACCGTTCCTTCACATCGTCAAAGCAATTTTTACATTTTGTGGGAAAAATCTGCAACATTCCAATTTTTGTTTTGTGTGTTGCAGCCTGAAATGCAGGAATGAATGGATTTTACTGAATGCAACAGAGTTAATACCAGAAAACTTTAAATATGTGGCGCAGTGAAATCATTAAATCATTTCCAGGTGACTCTGTGATCTGTGCTAATCTTTTTCTTCCATTTCACTTCAGTCTCTTCAGTAATCACCTTCAGCAGTGAATGTAACCTGCTTTTAAAGTGAGTTCTGATCTTCATTTTCTTCTAAACTTCCCTTTTCATTCTATTCTCCTGCAGTCCGGTGATGGCGGTCCGGCTGCTGAAAGTCTCCTCTCTGGCCACAGCAGTGTTAGCCTCCTCTGGCTTTTACCTCTCCAGCAAACAACTGGACATCAACGACCTGAGTGTGATCCGCTTCGGACGAGCCGCGCTCACCGTGAGTTTAATTTAACGTCTGATGTTTTGAGTTCTTACATGAACCAAACTGTTCACTTTGCAAGCACATTTTTAGATACGGGTTTAGTCTCAGGTGTTTCGCAAACATGTCATCCAGCAAATGAATGACCAAATTAGTTATGTTGTTTGATTTTAGGCGCTTTGGTCTCAGACTATCAACGTAGATATAATATGAAATATGTGACTTTACAAGAGTCCTGGTCTTTACATTTTAACACATTTCCTCTGTCCTGTAAATAACGTCTGCCCTATGGTCCACAGCTGGTTTTGGACATCAAACCTCTCATAAATGTCAGTAACTAGTCTTCAGCACTTTTATTAGCTTGGTTTAGACCAGGGGTCTGCAACCTTTGCGATAAGAGTCATTTTTGCCACTTTGATTACTAAATATTATGATGTGTACGGAGCTGCAAGTCCTGCTACAACGGTGCACTGTCAACTGGTGGCCCATGGACCACAAGTTTGTTGGAGATGGCTTTTCCAGCCACTGGGGTTGATATTATAAAATGAAAAATGTCTAACTATTATTAACATTTATTGATATTTTTACATTTTAATACAAAATAAAAGACTATATTCATGTAAATAAAAATAATATTTTTTAACAATTTTATACAAATTAAAACACTGAACTCTGCAGGCCGATGTGAGTTCTCTTAACTGTTTAAGAATTAAGTTTCCTACTTAAAGCATAAATTAAAGACAGTATAAAATTAGGCCAGTTTGTTGGAAATCCAGTTACATAAAAAAACAACAACTTTTCTTTGACTTTGTTTTTTGTGTTTTATTCTTACTGTTATCAAAGTTACTCACCATATTCCTACTCAGCAGCTTGTCTTAAAGATATTTCAAAACATTCTGGTGGTTTTGAGAGAAAGATCACGTTGTGAGACTGGAAGTTGACTTAAAGTGGCTAACAAACTGCTAGCATGATGTAGTCCACATGTTTTACGCCTTGTATTTGTACCACTCTTCACATATTTGAAAACGACAGGAAATCTGCTTAAAACTAACCATTTTCATTGTTGGCAGTAATTGAAATAAAGTTCAATTATTCAATTCAGTTTTATTTTAGTTTTGGTCAAAGCCTGGAAGAGCTGCTATAGAGGTTCCAAAGAGCCACATGTGGCCCCAGAGCCGTAGGTTGCAGACCCCTGGACTAAACAAACCGTCGCATTAGTGTAATTGCATATGAACTAATTTGTATAAAACAGCTTCTGATTGTCAACACATTTTGTCACTGGTCGCAATATTATGGCTGACTGGTTAGAAAACGTTTTATTTTTAGATGATCAGAGAGCTTTTGTAGAATTTATTTGCTAAAACGTGTCACTTCAGTGGGGCACAAATATTTTAACCTCATAAAACTAGCTCATGTTTGCTTCTGACCATAGGACTGACTTCAGAAGACATGAATGCAGGGTTTGTTACTCAAATTAAAAAATAAGAAAATAAACTCAGAGTCCAGATATTCAAGCAGCCTCCAGAGGATGAGGTCCAGAATATCTCTACTCCTTGTTCCTGCCTACAAACAAAACAAACCTTTTATCTCTTCAAAACTGCAACTCTAAACTTTTATCACGCTTCGTTTATTTCTGTTCATGAGATACTTTCATGTTGTTTCTGTCTGCAGACGGCGGTGATCAGCTACGACTACCTGACAGCTTTCAGACACGTGGCGCATGGCTCAGAGGAGTACTGGGCTCTCAAATCCAAGGTAGACAAGCAGCTTTGGTGTTTGTGTCTGAAGGAGGGACATTTATGCCTTGAGTAAAGTCACACAGTCATTAAACGTGGGTTCTTCACTGCACGTCCTATTTTATTTTATGTTTAATCGCGATTTAAGGGCAAGAAGCATTCCCACAAATTTATAACATGAAAAGGTGATAAAATTAGAAAAATACTGGCAGAATACCAGTGTGGATCTTATTTAATCAGAAAAGAGCATCGTGATGAAAACTGGTTTTGTGTGTTTGTGGACATAAAGTGAGTGAGTTTATCTGATGAGACACAGAAAGTTTCTGTATTCAAGGACATGGAGATTAACTCCTCACTGTCTGGGCTCAGGAAAACAAATTATGATATATTTTTTGTTTCATTTTTAATCTACTGATTTGTCTGAGGGGAATTCTCATCTAACAGTACTTTTACAAGAGATGTGCGTTTTAGGCAAAAATACTCTTTGAATTCACTTTGAACCTCACTGACCTACACAAGGCGAGGTCAGTGAACAAGGCCAGGCTGAGTCTGGCAGATCCTGATCATCAAATGCATGGTGAGTTCAGGTTGCTTCAATCTGGACACAAGTATCTGCTTCCCAGATGTACAGTGTCTTGCGAAAGTATTTGTCCCCCTTGAACTTTTCAACCTTTTGCCACATTTCAGGCTTCAAACATAAATATATAAAATTTAATTTTTTGTGAAGAATCAACAACAAGTGGGACACAATCGTGAAGTGGAATGAAATTTATTGGATGTGTCAAACTTTTTTAACAAATAAAAAACTGAAAAGTGGGGCGTGCAATATTATTCGTCCCCCTTGCATTAATACTTTGTAGCGCCGCCTTTTGCTGCAGTTCCAGCTGCAAGTCTCTTGGGGTATGTCTCTATCAGTTTTGCACATGGAGACACTGAAATTCTTGCCCATTCTTCTTTGCAAAACAGCTGGAGCTCAGTGAGGTTGGATGGAGAGCGTTTGTGAACAGCAGTCTTCAGCTCTTTCCACAGATTCTCGATTGGATTCAGGTCTGGACTTTGACTTGGCCATTCCAACACCTGGATATGTTTATTTGTGAACCATTCCATTGTAGATGTGTCTTTATGTTTTGGATCATTGTCTTGTTGGAAGATAAATCTTCGTCCCAGTCTCAGGTCTCTTGCAGACTCAAACAGGTTTTCTTCCAGAATGGTCCTGTATTTGGCCCCATCCATCTTCCCATCAATTCTGACCATCTTCCCTGTCCCTGCTGATGAAAAGCAGGCCCAAACCATGATGCTGCCACCACCATGTTTGACAGTGGGGATGGTGTGTTCAGGGTGATGAGCTGTGTTGCTTTTACGCCAAACATATCGTTTTGCATTGTGGCCAAACAGTTTGATTTTGGTTTCATGTGACCAGAGCACCTTCTTCCACATGTTTGGTGTCTCCCAGGTGCTTGTGACAAACTTTAAACAACACTTTTTATGGATATCTTTGAGAAATGGCTTTCTTCTTGCCACTCTTCCATAAAGGCCAGATTTGTGCAGTGTACGACTGATTGTTGTCCTATGGACAGACTCTCCCACCTCAGCTGTAGATCTCTGCAGTTCATCCAGAGTGATCATGGTCTCTTGGCTGCATCTCTGATCAGTCTTCTCCTTGTTCCAGATGAAAGTTTAGAGGGACGGCCGGGTCTTGGTAGATTTGCAGTGGTCTGATACTCCTTCCATTTCAATATGATTGCTTGCACAGTGCTCCTTGGGATGTTGAAAGCTTGGGAAATCTTTTTGTATCCAAATCTGGCTTTAAACTTCTCCACAACAGTATCTCGGACCTGCCTGGTGTGTTCCTTGGTCTTCATGATGCTCTCTGCACTTTGAACAGAACCCTGAGACTATCAAAGAGCAGGTGCATTTATATGGAGACTTGATTACACACAGGTGGATTCTATTTATCATCATCAGTCATTTGGGACAACATTGGATCATTCATAGATCCTCACTGAACTTCTGGAGTGAGTTTGCTGCACTGAAAGTAAAGGGGCCCAATAATATTGCACGCCCCACTTTTCAGTTTTTTATTTGTTAAAGTTTGACACATCCAATAAATTTCATTCCACTTCACGATTGTGTCCCACTTGTTGTTGATTCTTCACAAAAAATTACAATTTTATATCTTTATGTTTGAAGCCTGAAATGTGGCAAAAGTTTGAAAAGTTCAAGGGGGCCGAATACTTTCACAAGGCACTGTAGAACGAACAGACTGAAAAACTCATTCATCCCTGTAGTGATCAGGCTCCTCGACGAGCAGTGATGATTTCTGTTCTGTTATTTTAATGTCTCTGTGTCTTGTCTAGTATGGATGTTTTGTGTTCCTGCTGACTGGGAAACAAATTGCCCCATGGGGATTAAAATAATAATAATAATTTATTCATTCATTTAAAAGAAACAAAATTAAACAAATTCATCAAAAATAAATCAAAACATTGAATGGAAAGGGTGCAGAAAGAAGAAAAAAAATCTTATATCTGCCCCTTATTTAAAAAAAAAAAAGTATGAAATAACTTTAAACAAACAACTTAGGCTTGAACATCTCCAGAGTGAAACATCAGGCATCCTTCACTTGGCACCATACTTTTCTAACAATTTTAACTTAATCATCTTTTTTTTAAAAACATATAAATTGATTTAGAAATTGTTATGGTGATATCAAGGCAAGTCCACAATCCTATTCCCTGAATTACAATGCAGCGCTCATTCAGACTGGTTTTAAATGGAGGTTTTTCAAACATCTCCATTCCCTTAAGATTATAATGACTCTCTTTAACACATTTAAATTGCATATTTGGGGGTAATATTTTTATGAACTTTATGCATGACTTGTAAAATACTATATTCAACCACAACATAACATTTAAAAAATTTGAACTGATGAAATAATATATTTGTTGGGTGACCATAACACTTCTTGCTAATAATTCTTATAGCTCTTTTTTTGTAAAATAAAAATAGGATTTGTAATTTTTTTTGCATGCTTTTCCCCAAACTTCAATACAGTAGATTAAATATGGAACGATCATTACATTAAACAATATATACAAAGCTTTGTCATTCAAAAACTATTTTACTTTATACAATAATGCAATTGATTTTGCTATTTTTGTTCTTAAGTAATTTACATGAGATTTCCATGTCTTCTCATCATTAACGATACCCAAAAATTTTATTTCATTAACTCTATGAATTTCAGTATTGTCTATTTTAAATGGGACTTCTTTAATTTTCTTTCTATTACTAAATATCATGTAGTTAGTTTTTTTGTCTTCCAAATTTAATGATCACTTATTAAGTTGAAACCAAGATTGTATTTTTACGAATTTTGCCTTTATCATCTCTAACATCCATTCAGTATTTTCACCTGAACAAAAAAATGTGGTATCACACTTCAAAAGCCCTGACACATCAACCAGATCATTCGTGTACAAAATAAACAACTTTGTTCCCAACACACAGCCCTGAGGAACTCCACATCCATTCACACAAATTTCAGATCTTGCATGGTTTACCTGTACAAACTGTCTCCTATTATTCAAATAACTAGATATCCACTGTAGTGCTAATCCTCTAATGCCATATTTATTCCATTTTTCAAGGAGAATGGTGTGGTCAGTAGTGTCGAAGGCCTTTTTTAAATCAACAAAAACGCTAAAACAATACTGTTTTTGATCGAGTTTGACTGAACCTGCTCAACCTATTTCTCAATGTACAGTGATCTCAGTTTAAAAGTCTGACGTGAAAGGTGGCGGGCGATATTCATTCCTTCGAATAACGTCTTTTAAGTGTATCAGTTTTTACTAAATGTAACATTTAAGCCACACATCAGCTAAACTTCTTATTGACTTTCTTCCTTCCAGTTTTGTGTAAAACTGACCGACTCTTCGCTCACCAAAGCAGAACTTTGTTTTTCTTCTTTGGACTGATCCGTTTCTAAGTTGATCCTTTTTTAAACACCCTGTGGCAGGACGGTGGTGCAGGGTGTAAATGTTGGGCTGACACAAAGAGTGATTTGTTCTGGTGTTTGTTAAAAGGTCACAGCTCAGGTTCACTCAGGTGAGCGCCGCAGTAAAGGTTAGAAACTCGCAGAGCTTCGCTGCTGCTGCAGGAGCTCTGCAGTGAACCCTGAAGAGCATGGTTCAGCATGGCTGGTGGTATGAACGGGACTCAAACGCTCAGACAAGTGCTGCTACCCCCTGGGCCCCGTTGGTCAAGCCTGACTGCGCAGGCTGATTAGAATTAATGCATGCTGCCGATTTATTCCAGAGAGGAGGCTCAGCTGCTAATTATCATGAAGTCAGAGGGGTGAGGCACCAGATCTGCAGCTCTGTGTTTGGTTGGATTTTTCCTGCAGTTTGGCTGTTGCACACTTTGAGGACAGCAGGTGGGGGTATAAGACTTAATAAGGTCGACTTTATCGTCCCCTGTTGCAGAGCGAAGAAGGGGAATTGGAAATGTGGTCTGTCCGTTCGTCTGTGTTGTGCGAATGTTAACTTAAAAATAAGTGAGTCATCGACTGTCGTTTTGGTTGTGGCTGCATCTAGTTGTAAGAAATGTCACTATTGAAAATTGGGTTGCTACCTCAAAATCCAAGATGGCCACCGCCATATTTATGTAAACCAACCACCCCTATCATTTGAAGGAACTATGCTTTCCAGGTTTTATATTGTCAAATATGTCAAATTCTGTCCAGAATTGATTTCAAAATCTGACTTCTAATCTACAAAACTCTCAACAACCTAGCTCCATCTTATAGTCAAGATCTTACTGTTCCATATTTTCCTAACAGAGCACTTTGCTCTCAGACTGCAGGCTTACTTGCAGTTCCTAGAGTTTCCAAAAGCAGAATGGGAGGAAGATCTTTCATTTATCAGGCTCCTCTCTTGTGGAACCAACTTCCAGTTTCTGTCTGTGAGGCTGACACATTGTCCAGTTTTAAGACTTTCCTTTTTGATAAATCCTATA